AGAGAGAGAGAGAGGAGAAGCGTCCCGCTTGGAATGAGTCTGCGGGCAGACAAAGCAAGGTGCGTGCCCATAGGAGACGGCCGAGCCAAACCAGACACACACGGGGCTGAGTGCCCTGGGACGAGACGGTGGTTCAGTTGGCCGTGTAGCCGGTGTGCTGATGTAGCACGCACACTTCTCTCTCTCTCTTTTCTCTCCCCTCTCTCTCTCTCTTTTCCCTCTCTTTCTCTCCCCTCCCCCCCCCCCCCCCGGGGGAAGAGGTCTGTTTTGACACACCACAAACCAGGACGCAAACCCAACAAACAGAGAGAGAGAGAGAGAGAGAGAGAGAGAGAGAGAGAGAGGAGAGAGAGAGAGAGAGAGAGGCATATCGGCAGGGACACAAGGCAATAATAATTGTAACATTGCATCGAAAGGAGACTCAAATTTTCTCATGTATACTTAGTGGAAGGCTCTGTCCTTGGAAAGTGGCGTTCTGCGCACTGCCGTTTTCCTGCCTCGTTTGCCGAGATTCAGAGAGTAGACTTTGTCGCTCTGTCTCTCTCGCACCCTTCAGAACGCCCCTCGAGTGCGACAGAGACAGAGCGACGAAAACGACTCCATGCCTGCAGGCGGGCATGGTTTACGGTGGCGCGGCGCGAGCGGCGCGAACGGCCCAATGGCTGCGGAGGTGAAATACTTGAGGTTTCTGGCCGTGACCCCAGACTCGCGCATTCCCGCCAGTAAACAACAACAACAATAACACAACAATCCGCAAGTTGTTGTTGTTGTTGTTGTAGTTTGCGTGGTGCGGGTGCACGGCTTGGACCGATGGAAAACGCGGGCTCGGGTTCAATTCCCCCCGATTGGAGGGGAAAAAAAGGGGTAGCCGCTTTTGTTTGTCTCGTATCTGCTCACGATCACGGCCTAGCCCATCGACCCCGCAGGCTGTCTCTCTCGCACTCTACAAACTGAAGTGTGTACTCAGTATGCATCTATAGATGCATACTTATAAGTACACACCTACATGGCATACCTAGCTGAGTACACATCTACAGATGCATACCTGTTAATATGCATCGTAGGTGTACTTTGGGAAGTATGCATTAGTAGGTGTGTACTTGTCACCATATAATACCCAGTATCAAGTACACATCTACAGATGCATACTTGGCTGAGTACACATCTACAGATGCATACCGT